TCGTAGGCCTGTGTTCCCTCAATTGAATAAACAAAGATACGAACTGACTGTTATTTTATTATCACAATGATAGATCTTCATAATGATAGGTTTGAGTCATCAGTGAACATTTATTTTGTCTAGTGCAGTATTCTGGAGGGGAGGAAGTATATAGTACATTTTGTTAAGCTAACTCTGCATTTGAAGACTTAATTTTCAGTTATATGGAAATATAAATATTTGGAAGGGTAGTTCTTTGCTTTAAGGATTCCAGAGAGTAAAAGCTTACTTAGTTGACAATATACAAGTTAATTTTTAAGCAATCAAATGTCTTAATCTGGAAATAACTTTTAAATAAACTTTCCTAAATTACTATTTTATTTTCAGTAATCCATGTAAAAGAAGAGAAATTGTAATAAATTTCTTACTATGCCACTTTTGGTATCTGAGCCAATGTTAAAAAACAGACAAGCAACGTTTTCTGGGGTTACTTCTTCCTATCTCCCATTTTCAGAGAGTTGTTTTTATTTTATTTATTTATTTTTTTAAAGATTTATTTATTTATTTATTTGAGGGGCCAGTGCTGTGGCGCAGTAGGTTAATCCTCTGCCTGTAGCGCAAGAATTCCATATGGGTTCTAGTCCGGGCTGCTCTTTTTCCCATCCAGCTCCTGGCTCCTGGCTTTGGATTGGTGCAGCTTCAGCATTGTAGCCATTTGGGGAGTGAACCAGCAGACGAAAGAGCTTTCTCTCTGTCTCTCCCTCTCACTATCTGTAACTCTACCTCTATACCTTTATTTATTTATTTGAAAGACAGAGTTACAGAGAGGCAGAGGCAGAGAGAGATAGGTCTTCCATCACTGGTTCACTCCCCAAACAGCTGCAATGGCCAGAGCTGGGCCATCCAAAGCCAGGAGCTTCTTCCAGGTCTCCCACGTGGGTGCAGGGGCCCAAGGACTTGGACCACCTTCTACTGCTTTCCCAGGCATGGCAGAGTTGAATCAGAAGTGGAAAAGCTGAGACTCAAACCAGCACCCATATGGGATGCTGGCACTGCAGGCTTCGGCTTTACCTGCTACGCCACAACGCCGGCCACCAGACAGCTCTTTGAACTTGTGCTATTCTGCAGCTACTAAGGTTTCTCCAGGTCACTACACCTGACAATGTGCCATCTCCAAACATAATCATCCTGACCATCCTTCCAGAACCCAACTGCAAATTGGCCTAATCTCAAAAATTAACAGAAGTGAACATAGGAATTAATTACGACTATAGTCCAAGGCTTCTTGTTCTCAGGGAAACATGTAAAACAGCAGTAAATTCTTAGAAATATAAGAGTAATTGTAGAGGTAGGGAATCTTTTGCCTATATGAGGTCACTGCCAACTAAATCTAAAACTTTAATAAAAATATATTCAAGGGTTAGAACAAAAGCAATCCAGCTTCCATTTCCCTTCAGTTCTTTAGTTTGAGAGAGGAAATGAAAATACTACTATCTGAAATTCATATATAGCTTGCATTTGGATTTAGTGTTCTTACAAAACATATACACATACACACTTGTATTTAGTTTAATACTTAAGACAATGCCATAAACTCATATTCTTCCTATTTTATAAAAAGAGGTTAAGAAACTGACTGATGGCAGAGCTGGGACAAACTTGAAAGCAATTCTTTTTTCCTTTTAAAGATTTATTTTATTTATTTGAAAGGCAGAGTTACAGAGAGAGGTAGAGACAGAGAGAGAGAGAAAGGTCTTCCCTCCACTGGTTCACTCCCCGAAATGGCTGCAACAGTTAGGGCTGGGACAAGCCAAAGCCAGGAGCCAGAAGCCAGGAACCAGGAGCCAGGAATCAGGAGCTTCTTCTGGGTCTCCCGCATGGGTACAGAGGCCCAAGGACTTGGGTTCTCCTCCACTGCTTTCCTAGCAGGGAGCTGCATTGGAAGTGAAGCATCTGGGGCCGGAGCCATGGCACACTAGGTTAATCCTCTGCCTGCGGCGCCAGCATCCCATATGGGTGCCAGGTCCTAGTCCCGGATGCTCCTCTTCCAGTCCAGCTCTCTGCTGTGGCCTGGGAAGGCAGCAGAGAATGGCCCGGGTGCTTGGGCCCCTGCACCCGCATGGGAGACTGGGAGGAAGCACCCGGCTCCTGGCTTCGGATCTGCGTAGTTCCAGCCATTGTGGTCATTTGGGGGTGAACCAATGGAAGGAAGACCTTTCTCTCTCTTTCTCTCTCTCACTGTCTGTAACTCTACCTGTCAAATAAATAAATAAAAATCTTAAAAAAAAAAAAAAGTGATGCATCTGGGGCTCAAACCAGTGCCCATATGGGATGCCAGTTACTGCAAGCCAGGGCTTAACCTGGTGGGCTACAGTGCTGGGCCCTTGAAAGCAATTCTAGTTCAGGGTTTTTCTCCATGACACAGCTGCTACAGAGGTTCCCAATATCTAATTTTACACATGAACACAAAAAAAGTACAATTTAATTTCACATATAGGCAGTTTAAAAAAAGAAGTGAGATGTAAGAGGAGGAAGAGTGAGCAAGCCATGCGAGAGGAGAAAGAAAAGAGGTTCCAGGCTAGTGAATGTCAAAGGCAGAGAGGGAGAAAAACAGAGACAGACAGGTGTCCGGGTAAGGAAGGATGAGCTAGCGCCTGGGTGCTTCGGGCTCCTCCCCGCATCTTGTGTCTCCTGAGCAGTCTGGCTCTGCATTCTTCCTCCTCCATCCAATCAGACAAAAATCTCCCCCATTTAAGCTGCCCAGAGGACTGTGGGCTAGTATTTCCACAGACTCCCTGGAGCCCTGACGGAATCTGAATCTCATCCTAATCACAGTCATTAGTCTTCCTCCACCTGCTCAGTGAACACAGCTAAAGGCAGTTCCCTTCAGGAATCTCTGTTCTCAGCTCTCAGTCTTATTAGGGACCTAAGCACTTACTCGATACTACCAGAAGCATCAGGGCAGAAACTAGGTTGCAAATAAAGCAAAATTAGGACTTTATCATTTCAACAGCCAATGTCCAAACTGATCTTCCATTTACATTTTTCACTGAAAAATCAGTAGTATTTTAAGTTAGATATGCAGGATGTTCAAAACAAAAGTTCACAGAAAATGTATATTATAAAAATAAACCTGGATTTAAAAATTTTTTTCTTAAAGATTTTATTTATTTATTTGACAGGTAGAGTTACAGACAGACAGAAAGAGACAGAGAGAAAAGTCTTCCTGTCCATTGGTTCACTCCCTAAATGGCCACAATGGCGGGAGCTGCGCCGATCCGAAGCCAGGAGCCAGAAGCTTATTCCTGGTCTCCCAAGTTGGTGCAGGGGCATAAGGACTTGGGCCATCTTCTACTGCTTTTCCAGGCCATAGCAGAGAGCTGGATTGGAAGAGGAGCAGCTGGGACCAGAACCGGTGCCCATATGGGATGCCAGCACTGCAGGCGAAGGACTAACCTACTGCACCACAGTGCCAGCCCCCCCCCCCCCCAATTTTCAAAATTATTACTTAAAAGTATTGAAAGAAATATCTTTTAAAAAACAATTTCTTTATTCATTCAAAAGGGAGAGAGAGAGAGAGAGAGAGAGAGAGAGAGAGAATCTTCCATCTGCCAAGTCATTCCCCAAACGGCCACAATGACCACAGCTGGGCTAGGCAGCAGCCAGGAACCAGGAGGTTCTTCCAGGTTTTCCACATGGGTGGCAGAAGCCCAAACACTTGGGCCATCTTTTGCTGCTTTCCCAGGTGCTAATGCATATGTAGTCACTGACTAACTAAATCAAAACTTTAATAAAAATAAACTCAAGGGTTAGAACAAAAGCAATCCAGCTTCTATTTATGGACTGAAAATGGAGCTGCTTGGACTTGAACCAGTGCCCATATGGGATGCAGGCCCAAAAGAAATCTTTTTCTATTTTTCACAAACTGTTGAGGTATCCTTGTGCAACGAATAATAAAATGCCTGCACATACTCACACTTTATTTCTGTTTTTATTTAGTTAGTTTATTATTTAGGTGAACTACCATTTCTTTCAAAATGAGATTAACATCCTACATTACTGGCATTTAACAAAATTCCTAAATCACTAGAAAACTGTTTTAATTAGAAGAACTGTCTTGATAGACTGAGTTTCAATCCTAGCTTATGCTAATAACAGAACAAATTACTTAATATATTTGAACCCTAGGCAATTCATCTATAAAAGGGGCAAAGAAAAATGCAATATTAACTACAAAGGTAGTTTGAAGAGTCAAATGAGTTAAATGGTGATATCTAGCATGCAGTAAGCACTCAACAAATGTTATCTATTATTATCATCATTAGCCATTAACCTTGTTACTGAGCTGCATAAAACTTTGGTATACATTTTTGGTTTCCTAAAAAGAAACTAAAGTGAATTTAATTTCAGAAAAACTTTTTTTAAAAAAATTATTTTCTTATTTGAAAATCAGAGTTACAAAGAGACAGGGAGGAGAGAGAGAGAGGGAGGGAGAGAGAAATCTTCCATCTGCTGGTTCATTCCCCAAATGGCTGCAACAGCCAGGAACCATGTCCTTTATCCAGGTTTCCCATGTGGATATTAGTAGCCCAAGCACTTGGATCATCTTCCAGTGCTTTTCTGGGGCCATTAGCAGGGAGCTGGACGGAAAGTGAAGCAGTCGGGACATGAACTGGCATCCATATCAGAGTGCTGGGTTCGGATTCGGATCCCTCTGCTTCTGGTCCAGTTGCCCTGCTGGTGTGCATCCTGGGAGCGAGCGAGTGATGGCTCAATTACTTGGGTCCCTGCCACTCTCTAGGGTCCTGACTTCAGCCTGGCCCAGCCCAAATGTTGCGAGCATTTGAGGAGTTAACTAGTGGATGGAAGAGCTCTCTGTGTCTGTCCTTTCTCTGCCTTTCAAATAAAATAAAACAAAAATAAATTTGTAACTAAAAAAACACACAAAAAGTTAAAGTCAAATACTGACAGTCATATATACCAGATCTGAAAAGCACACCTGTCATCCTACTACAGTTTACCTCAAAGTCGATCAGCTGCAGGTCAGCTATCAGGGTCACCAGCAGCCCACTGTTGTACAGCTCCTGTGCGAGCTGAGCCACTGCTTCTGTTGGGGGTTCCTTGTCATTTGTACCACACAGAATTTCTTTCATGGCTTGCAGTGACTTCGACACTTCTTCTGAAGCCTTGTATGTCAACAGATAACAAGAAGGACAAATTCAGGTCAAAAAGAGACAAACAAAATAAAAATCACTTCTTGGACACTATTTATTTATAACCAAAGATCATTATATAGTTACAAAAAAGCAAACAACCATTTAGTCTGCATATTTTTACTTTGGAAATTTTCCAAAAATTTATAGGTATCTAGCATTTTTACTTAGTGAACACAACTGAAATAATCTTCCTTTAAACCACAATCATAATCTAATTTTGTTGGTAATTAAATATAAATTTTACTCTTGGAAATTAGAATGATTTCATTTTGAAGAGTGATTAGAAGCTACTATTCTTAATTTAATACATTGTGCTGAGGCTTTTCTTTTTTTTTTTAACTTTTATTTAATGAATATAAATTTCCAAAGTACAGCTTATGGATTACAATGGCTTCCCCCCATATCGTCTCTCCCACCCGCATCCCTCCCCTTTCCCACTCCCTCTCCCCTTCCATTCACATGAGGATTCATTTTCGATTCTCTTTATATACAGAAGATCAGTTTAGCATACATTAAGTAAAGATTTCAACAGTTTGCTCCCACACAAACATAAAGTGAAAAATAATAGATGATTTTTTAAATGATGATGAAATCAGATCAGACCTATTGTCATGTTTAATCCCAGTGAGAGTCAAGTTGGGAATTGATAATTTCTTCTTCTTTTTTTTTTTTTTACAGAAGATCAGTTTAGTATACATTAAGTAAAGATTTCAACAGTTTGCACCCCCATAGAAACACAAAGCGAAATATACTGTTTGAGTACTCATTATAGCATTAAGTCTCAATGTACAGCACATTAAGGACAGAGATCCTACATGAGGAGTAAGTGCACAGTGACTCCTGTTGTTGACTTTACAAATTGACACTCCTGTTTATGGCATCAGTAATCTCCCTATGTACCAGTCATGAGTTTCCAAGGCTATGGAAGCCTTTTGAGTTCACCAACTCTTATCTTGTTTAGACAAGGTCATATTCAAAGTGGAGGTTCTCTCCTCCCTTCAGAGAAAGGTACCTTCTTCTTTGAAGACCTGTTCTTTCCACTGGGATCTCACTCACAGAGATCTTTCATTTAGGGTGGTGGTGTTTTTTTTTTTTTTTGTTTTTTTGTTTTTGTTTGTTTGTTTTTTTTTTTTTTTTTTTTTTGCCAGAGTGTCTTGGCTTTCCATGCCTGAAATACTCTCATGGGCTTTTCAGCCAGATTGGAATGCCTCTAGGGCTGATTCTGAGGCCAGGGTGCTGTTTAGGACATCCACCATTCTATGAGTCTGCTGAGTATCTCGCTTCCCATGTTGGATCACTCTCCCCTTTATTTATTCTATCAGTTAGTATTAGCAGGTACTAGACTCGTTTATGTGCTTCCTTTGACTCTTAGTCCTTTCATTATGATCAATTGTGAACAGAAATTGATCACCTGGACTGGTGAGATGGCATTGGTACATGCCACCTTGATGGGATTAAATTGGAGTCCCCTGGTATGTTTCTAACTCTACCATTTGGGGCAAGTCAGCTTGAGCATGTCCCAAATTGTACATCTCTTCCCTGTGCTGAGGCTTTTCAACAAATCCCTATTCTCTTGATCTTTTAGTGAACAAGGTATAAAATTGTAAGCTATTAGAACTCAAGCTTTCTTTGTCAATTCATTCATTCCTCATTCATAATTATTATCTTTTTACTATCTATAACACGAATTCATTATATTTTAAAAAATACAGGGTGGGCATTTAGCCTAGCAGTTAAAACATCCACATCCACATCCCTCATCAGAACACCTTCGATCAATACCTGGGTCCTGCTAATGCAGACTCGGAGAGGCGGCAGGTGATGGCTCAAGTAAGCTGGTACCTGTTACCCTTGTGGGAGACATGGATTGCCTTCTGGCTCCTGGCTGGGGCACTAGCCCAGACCGGGTTCTTGCAGGCATTTCGGGAGTATACCAGTAGCTGGGAGTTTGCCTTCTGTTTCTGTCTCCCTGCCTCTCACACTAATAAATACATAAATAAACAAATATTTTAAAAGAACAGTAGAGAAATCTATACATATAGGCAGAGAGTGGATTCCTGGACATTAGGGCCTGGAGGGTAGAGGATTTAGCCAGCAGCCTGATCAGATTTCCCGTCTGGTGGCAGGAACCCAACTACTTGAGCCATCACTGCTGCTTCCCAGGGTCTATATTAGAAAAAGCTGGAACCAGAAGCTGGAGTCAGGATTGAACCCAGGCACTCTGATATAGGATTTTGGTACCTGCCAGTCAAACACTGTACCTATCAGTCAATCCTTAAACAAAACATTTTACCTTTCTTATTCGTATAACATGTTATACTAATATAACTTCTTAGATCTTTAAGATCTACAGTCTTCAGGGATTCAGGGTTCGCAAGAAGAGTGAACCAAGAGTTCCAGACAACAGACTAAACAACAGTCAGCCGCATAAAACTTAAAAAATGAATTACATGTATGTTGGGTAACCATATATATATACATCATGTATTATATTTGGGATTCTTCATTAAGCTTTTATATTGTTCTTGGGCCTCGTAATATAACAATAATGATATTATTTTAGCTCATACCTTGTCTGTCTTTTTGTCTTGCTTTTCCAAAATGGCCATGTTGTCTTTCAGAATTTTCACAATTTCTGCTGGATTCTTATGTGATTTACTAAACAAAGGCATCTTTTTTCAGGTATAAAAATCTCTTCTTCCAATATGGAATGCTAAAAAACAAGCCAATAAAAATCATAACTTTAACTGTTAATGTACTTAAATTATCATAGCACTATGTCTCATAAATTTTCAGTAACATCAATCCAATAATTTAAAACAGAATGATCAAACTAAAATGAGCTTCAAGTTTTATGGCAAATTTAATACACAGAAAAAATATTTTTTAAAGATTTATTTACTTATTTGAAAGTCAGAGTTAGAGAGAGAGGGAGAGGGACAGAGAGGGAGAGGGACAGAGAGAGAGAGAGAGATTTTTCTGTGTACTGGTTTACCCCTGAGAAGGCCATAATGGCCAGGTCTGGGTCAGGCTGGAGCCAGGAACCAAGAGCTTCCTACAGGTCTCCCATGGTGGGTGGAAGGGGCCCAAAAACTTGGGCTATCTTTTGCTGCTTTCCTCAGGCCACCAGTAGGGAGCTGGATCAGAAGAGGAGCAGCCAAGACATGAATCAGTGCCCATTTGGGATGCCGGCTTTGCAGGTGGCAGCTTTACCCGCTAAACTACAATGCTGGCCCCGCACCTCCAGGGTGCATGGCCTTCGGGCCATGTGCTCCAGGCTTCCTGGTCTAGATGCTCATCCACGTGGCTGGTTCCTGGTGCTCGGTATGAACCCCTATTCACCTCTCTCTCTTAAATAAAGCTCTCACTCTCCTATGCATCTTTCTCACTAAATAAAAGTTTAAAACGTAAAAAAAAAATTTTAAGAAAAGTATTTTAAAAGTTTTACTCAAAATCTAAGTTTTTCTTCATTATAAATGTAAGAATTATGGGCCGGCGCCGTGGCTCAATAGGCTTATCCTCCACCTGCGGCGCCGGCATCCCAGGTTCTAATCCCCGTTGGGGCACCAGATTCTATCCCAGTTGCCCCTCTTCCAGGCCAGCTCTCTGCTATGGCCCAGGAGTGCAGTGGAGGATGGCCCAAGTGCTTGGGCCCTGCACCCCATGGGAGACCAGGAGAAGCACCTGGCTCCTGTCTTCGGATCAGCGCGGTGCGCCAGCCGCAGCACACTGGCCACGGCGGCCATTGGAGGGTGAACCAACAGCAAAGGAAGACCTTTCTCTCTGTCTCTCTCTCTCTCACTGTCCACTCTGCCTGTAAAAAATAAAAATAAAAATAAATAAAAAAATAAAAAATGTAAGAATTATGAAAAAATAAGAAAAGGATACTTAAAGTTAGATAATTTGACTACAGAGTAATAATAATAAATGATTAAAATATGTAAAACAAAAGTGGGATTAGGATTTACATACTGGCATAAAACAACATTTATTTATTTTTTGAAGATTTATTTGAAAGGCAGAGTTACAGAGAAAGGTAGAAACAGAGGTCTTCCATCTGCTGGTTCACTACCCAAATGGCTGCAAAGGCCGGAGCTTAGCTGGAGCTTGGCCGATCTGAAGCCAGGAGCCAGAAGCTTCTCCCAGGTCTCACTAATGGGTGCAGGGGCACAAGCACTTGGGACATTCTCAGCTGCTTTCCCAGGCACATTAGCAGGGAGCCCGATCGGAAGTGGAGCAGCTGGGAATCATATGAGCAGCCGGCATTGCAGGCCAGGGGTTTAACCTACTGCGCCACAGCTCTGGCTCCAAAACAATATTTAAGAACATAGCAGTTACTACTCTATGGTAATTACAAAATTACACTATTATTTAGAATCCCTTCTTTGTTTACTCTTCAAATATTCTGTTGGCCACATTCACTGATAAAAAAGCTTCTTGTATCCTCACTCCCACTGTGCAGGGCGAGGAGAGTGGGGAAAAGGAATATTAGTTCTAGTTGGGAACACCTAACTACATAGAGCAGAGAAAGCCAGAAATGGCTGCCCTTGTCCTAATATAAACATTAGAAAACAATCCTGCAATTTGAAAGCCCCAGCTAGTAAAGGCATGTTTATTATTTTATATTGATTAACAAAAATATTTCATCCACTATAGAGATACTAAATACTCATATGCCCCAAACGCAGCACAGAATGGTTATCCAAGTCAGCAGAGAGCTGAAACGACATACAGAAAACCGACTGAGGGCAAGTGCAAGGGACACACTTAGCTAGCCTTCATTCATCCATTCAAAAAATACTGAGCACCTCTAATCTACCAGGAAATGCAAAATGAGTAAGCCTCAAAGGGCTCACAATGCAGCAGGAACTGCAGACACAACAAGGCCTTTGCCCAGGAAAGGTTGAAACAACAAATATTAATGGAGAAAAGATACAGAGTTTGTACAGATATGCAACTTTAGATCCTCATAGGCACTTTATAGCAATGTGGAGAAGATGGGGAGTTATCCCATAACAAATAACTATTACTACAGCAATAAGAATGGAATGAAAGATGTGAACATCAAGAAAAGAAACTAAAAACAGAGCAGAAGCAATTAATCAAAGATAAAACAGTTTAAGCAGAAAAAAAGATCCACAACTAGTCCTTTAAAAGATTTTTCAGGGGCTGGCGCTGTGGCACAGTGGATTAACGCCCTGGCCTGAAGCGCCAGCATCCCATATGGGTGCCAGTTCTAGTCCTGGCTGCTCCTCTTCCAATCCAGCTCTCTGCTGTGGCCTGGGAGAGCAATAGAAAATGGCCCAAGTCCTTGGGCCACTGCACCCGTGTGTGAGACACGGAGGAAGCTCCTGGCTCCTGGCTTCGGATCAGCACAATTGCGGCCAATTGGGGAGTGAACAATTGGATGGAAGACCTCTCTGTGTGTGTGTGTGTGTGTATGTGTGTAACTCTTTCAAATAAATAAATAAATCTTTAAAAAAAAGATTTTTCAATAGAATTAATGATGAGACTCAAAATTCAGTATATTTTGTGGCTTTTAAAAGAAAGAAATATTTCTTTCTTGTCAAAGCACATTTCAAAAAATGACCTTAAAAAAACAAAAGGCACAAAAATTAGGTTGTCTTTAGGCTGCCACAAAACTGAATGCCATGAGACCATGGAGAAAACCTATGGAGTTTTAAGAAGTCATGGCCAACATATCATTTATGTGTGAGCAGACTGTGTATGCCTAATGAAAATTTAACAAAAAGATGAGGTAGAATTGAGCTCTCAAAGAACTCAACAAAATTAATTCTAAAAAATCAAAAATAGCTCTTGAAATGGAACCTCTATATTGTTGGCAAGGCATATGGGAGGGTGAGAACCTACATTATAATTCATTCACAGGGAAATAAAAATAAGAATTCAACTAAAGAAGCTAAAAAAGAAACCGCCACAAAAATCTCCCTGAAAAGGATGAAGATCATGATAGAAGGAGAAACAAAGAAGTAAAGGAAAGAAAGAAAAAGAAGGAAACTTCTGGCGGCTATTTGGTCCACACTTCTTGTGATAGACAGGTCTGCCCTCCATCCCAGTCCATCCCACCAAAAACTGTGGGAGCATGAACAAGACATGGCAGGCGTATTTCAGCAATGGAACCAAAGGAATTGTGATATAAGTTAATCAAATAGAAACAATCAAAGCGTTGATGAGGGAACTATTGTACAGTGTTGATGGGAAAGGAAGTTAGTATAGTCATTATGGAGGTGTCTCAAATTTAAAATGGAACTACCATATATAATGCAATTATCCCACTTCTGGGCATATTTCCAAAGGAACTGAAATAAGTAAGTAGAAGAGGTATCTGCGGCCGGCGCCACGGCTCACTAGGCAAATCCTATGCCTGTGGCGCTGGCACCCTTGGTTCTAGTCCCGGTTGCTCCTCTTCCAGTCCAGCTCTCTGCTGTGGCCTGGGAGGGCAGTGGAGGATGGCCCAGGTGCTTGGGCCCTGCACCTGCATGGGAGACCAGGAGGAAGCACCTGGCTCCTGGCTTCGGATAGGTACAGCGCGCCGGCTGTGGTGGCCATTTGGGGGGTGAACCAATGGAAGGAAGACCTTTCTCTCTCTCTCTCATTAACTCTGCCTGTCAAAAAAAAAAAAAAAAAAAAAAGGAGGTATCTGCATGCCCATGCTCATGGCAGCACATTCACAACAGCTAAGACATGGAAGCAATCTAAATGTCAGTGAATGGAAGAAGATAAAGACAATGTGGTATTTATGACACACTATGGAGTATTATTCAGCCTTCAAAAGGGGGAAAATCTTGTCATTTGACAATGTGGATAAATCTGGAGAAAATCATGCTAAGTCATATAAGCCAGGCACAGAAAGGCAAATACCACATGATCTCACTTACATGTAGAATCTAAAAACAGCTGTACTCATACTCACAGAAGGAGTGAGCAACAGTTACCAGAGGTTGTGTGTGTGTGTGTGTGTGTGTGTGTTGGGGGAGGTAGAGGGACTTGATCAAAGGGTACAGTTTCAGACAGACAGAGGAATGGCTTGAGATTTATCACACAATCGTATTTCAAAATAGCTAAGAGTACATTTCAAATGTCTCACCATAAAAACGATAGGTAAGTGATATGGCAGACACATTAATTAGCTTGATTTAATAATTATGTATCAAAAACATATCAAAACACCACACTGTACTCCATAAAAGTATACTATTATGATTTGTCAACTCAACATACAATTAATAATAAAATCTTTTTTTATAATTTTTTAAAAAAATTTGTCAGAGTTATAGACAGTGAGAAAGAGAGACAGAGAGAAAGATCTTCCTTCCGTTGGCTCACCCCCAAATGGCTGAACAGCCGTCGCTGCACCGATCCGAAGCCAGAAGCCAGGTGCTTCCTCCTGGTCTCCCACGCGGGTGCAGGGCCCAAGCACTTGGGTCATCCTCCACTGCCTTCCCGGGCCACAGCAGAGAGCTGGACTGGAATAGGGGCAACTGGGACTAGAACCTGGTGCCCATATGGGATGCTGGCACCACAGGTGGAGGATTAACCAAGTGAGCCACAGAGCTGGCCCCAACAATAAAAATCTTTCAAAAAACTTTCTCCCCTTCTCTGGCTTTCTGGGCAGATCCTTGGTGTGTCCGTATCCCCCGCTACACTGTGAGCCCTTGGAGATTTACTCATTTTGTATTTCCTACTTCAGTG